TTTTCCGGTACGCGGGTCTCTCACTGTTGTAGCCTCTCCCGCTGCGGAGCACAGGCTCCGGACGCGGAGGCTCAGCGGCCATGGCTCACGGGCCCAGCCGCTCCGCGGCATGTGGGATCCTCCCGGACCGGGGCACGAACCCGTGTCCCCTGCATCGGCAGGCGGACTCTCAACCACTGCGCCACCAGGGAAGCCCCCCTTCTCCCATATTAGAGGGACTGTGACCTGTGAGGGTCACTGAGCTAGTAAGTGGCAGGCAGGTTGAGTCCCTGGCATCATTTGGTTTCCCCGGGCATCTCAGGGTGGACCCCAGATTCCTGGTTGAGTGATCTCACTCTGCATACCTGATGGTAAAGATGATCCATCAGGGCAACTTTTAGATGAGGATGGTAACCTCCAGAGGACACGTGGACCGACCTGTTCATGAATTCTAGCTCGCTTCTGTCAGCTTCGTCTCGGAGGGCCTCAGTTTCCTGTTCTGTTAACTGAAAGTGATTGTTCCTGCCTAAAAAGGTTGCTGAGAGGATTAGACAAGGTGACATACGTGAAGGAACCCAGCCCAGCACCTGGCAGGTGGGTCCCCACCAGATGCTGAGGAATTAGAATCTCATTTCGCTCTGAGGCTCGGCTGACTGCACGGCCGTTCCTGTCCGTCCTCACTTTCAGGCTGATAGGAGGTTGAGCGCCCCTGGGCCACTTCTCCTTCAGCAGGGGACTTTTTGGTTTGATTTAACTACAGGTGATCCGTCTCCTCGGCCCAAACTGTCCACTCTCATTAACGGGAGGCCTCGGAGTGCCTTTTCGTTCCCCTGTCCCCACGTCCCTTCCTCTGTATGTCCAGGAACAACAGACGTGAAAATGCGAAAGCAGCAGCTGTTTGTGGTGCAGGGACCCCTCTCCCTACGGCCCTCTCTGGCCGGGGGCCGTCCCACTGTCTGATCTTAATGCTGCCCCGTCCCCCTCACCGTCAGCCACCAGAGCTGGAGTTTTTGGTAACCTGATTTCAATTTGAGTGATTCCTATTGAGCAATTGGTCTGTAAAAGAGTCAGGCCTGCAACTTGAAATCTCTTTTAATTTCCCGTTTACCGCATCAGCCCCACATTGTCTGTCGTATGTGATCAGAAACTTTTTCGGTTTTTTCCCTTGTAAATTCCTGGTTGCTGCCACCACTGACTTCTTACGTCATACCTGTTTTCCTCTGTAGCAGAGGGGAGTGGGATGTGTGGTGTCATGGGTCTCCCAGAGACCCCCTGAGCCTAACTCAGCAAACACACAGGCGAAAATGCAATAGTAGAGGCAGCAGCAGTTCATATCCAAAAAGATCCAGGGGTTTTAATGCCGTAGGTTCAACACTCGATTTGTTCAACGGCCATTTGTTCAATGATTGTCTACTCTGGGGAAGAAATTGTCCTAGAAAATGGGGTACCAACTTGATCTGATCTGGTCCTGCTCTTGAGAAGGTGTCTTGGGATAACGGGAGTGAGAAAGGACGCACAGACACCCAATCTAGCCTGGGACAAGCCCAGCAAGGGTTTTACCAAATGAGGATGCTTAGGTGGAGTCTTGAAGGACGAAGGGGAGTTTGAAGAGGAGGTAAGGGGGGAAATGGGGATTCTAGGAGGAGGGAGTGGGGTGGCTGAAGAATCAGGCTGAGGCAGGAAAAAAACGTGGCAGATTCAGAGACGTACAGGACCTTCACTCTTCCTGGTGGAGGGAGGGGTAAGCAGTGACAAGAGTCTGGAGAGGCGGGCTGGTGTGTGAGGACGGCTAAAACCAGGGTACAGATGTGGGTTAGGTTGCCCAGGGAAAGTGTGTGGAGTGAGAGAACACACTAAACCAGAGCCCTTGCCAACAGCAACCCTCACAAGGTTGGGGAGGAGCCAGGAGGGGCTGCTGTGAGACAGAAGGAACTAGGCCAGGGAAGGAGGAGTTGCAGAGTGGGGTCAGCCAGGCAAAACCTGCTGCCCCAGAGAGGCAGGCTTCGGCCAGGAAGTCCCTGTGGACAGGGCAGCTGAGGAACGGGGCAGCTTGATTCTCTAGCATACACTTAAGTTCCGTGGGCCGTAGAATTACCCCAAAACTGTTCACTTAGAGGGTCACAGCAGGCGATATTGACGGGAATTGTTGAGTCTGCATGCAGTAGGTGCTGCATAAGTGCTTGCAGTTCCATGACAGTCCTCATTGTGATTGGCTGCTCTGTTCCCATCTACCGTGGCATCTCGGTTTTTGCCCTCACTTTCCCTCAAGCAGGCCATCTTTTAGAATTGTAAGTTGGATCTCGTCACTTCTCTGCTTAAAAACCCTTCAGGATAAAGTTAGAGCTTGTGTGGGGTTCTGGGTGCCGTGGCCCCCGAAGCTCTCTTCAGCCTGGTCCCCTACCCTCTCCCTAGCCTTCAGGCCCTGACCACCCCGGCCTCCTTCCAGGTCCCCCCTCAGCCAGACCTCCTGCTGCTTAGGAGATGCCCCAGAGCCCCTCCCTGCCTCACCCCGCCAGCCCTGCCCACCCCCAGTTCCCCACCGGAACAGCACTTCCTCGGGGGAGTGCGGACAGTCTTCCTGCTTGCCCTGCGTCAGCCGTTGCTCCTGTAACTTCATGGACGTGTTTGTGTCCCCCGCTGCAGGGTGAGCTCTGCAAAAGCAGGGACCTTGCCTGTCCTGCCGCCCCAAGTCCCCCCTCCCCCACCCATCTGGGTTGATGTGGGCCACGGCTTGCTCAACCATCTCTGACAGCTGAATGGCTGGGCTGACCCTGTCTTCTCATCCAAGGAGGAGGCCCTCTGTGCAGTCACCCAGGTGCACCTGTCGTCCGAGGTTCAGCCAACACGCCACCTCCTCTGCGAGCTTCCTGGAGCGGCTGCCGCACCGTGCAGATGTTCCGTGTCCTTAGTTAGGTGGGATGCACCTTCTTAGGGCTCTCGGGGCACAGCAGTCTCGGGGTGTGAGTTCTTTCCCAGCTCCTGGAAAAGCCCTCCGTGTACAGTGGGTGCAGTGCCGACACCTGCCCCCGGCCAGCTTCTCGGGTGTGCGGCCAGTGCATCGCACAGGGCCCCGTGCTCAGGAGGGCCCCGCGCTTGGTTTAACGCTCCGCCTCCGCTGTCGCCATCTTGAAATTCTTAATGACATTTGACAGGTCCCCCAATGGTTTTGCACCGGGCCCTGTACCTGCCTTGCGGGGGCGATGTGCGGGGCCACGAGAGAACCCTGGGATCTGTAGACGCCGGGGCCCAGCTCAGGGCGAGCCCTCTCTGCAGGGTCGCCTGTCACCATCTTAGCTCTGCTCACCCACAACCACAGTCAGTAACTCATTCTTCTGTTTGCTCAGCTTCACTGACTAAGTGCTGTGGTCAGAGGCATCGATCAACTGCGTCAAATCCCTCTGCAGCTGCTCCTCTCCCTCCCAGGGTTCCCAAACGCGGCCTGTCTTCAGAGGCACTGCTGGGGCTTGTCAGAGAGATTTCTGGGCTGCATCCAAGGCCCACTGAACCAGACTCCCCGGAGCTGGGACTGTGAGTCTGTATGGTTAGCAGTAGTGCCTGCATCTGTGCTGTGACGCGCAGAATGGAGAGTGAGAACCTTCGTCCAAGCGGATGAGCCCTTGGTGCGGCGTTTGGTGTCCTCTCGGTCTGGCCCCGACTTTGTCTCCCGCAGGCAGCCTTACCCTGCAGCAGAGTCAGCTCTCCCTGACTGCCGTCGCTCCTGTCTCCTCCTGTAAGACCGGCAACCTCCTCTGAGGCAGTGTCCCCGGAAGCCCCACCCGCCTGCTTTCGTGCTCACTCAGCATGTGGTTTTTATTCTCCTCCCAGCACGTGTCCTGTCGCACAGTGGCTTGTTCCTGCCCCGTTGTCCCCCCAGCCTGAGAGCTCCTTGCAGGGGGTAGCTCGCCTCTGTACCCTCAGTTCATCAGGACTGAGCCGTGGACACAGGACCCACACTCAGCAAGGCCCCACCCCCTGGTCCAGCCAGCCGGCCGGTGGCACAGATGTTTGCTCCGCCAGGGCCTGTGGGAACAGGCCCCGCCCAGAGGCATTCTGGGAGGTCACGCGTTTGTTGTGTGGAAAGGGCAGCATGTAGAACGTGAGCTTTCTTTATGTGATCATTACCCACCCCTCTTCCGTTTTAGAAATGACTGTGTGTGACCAGAGCTCAGGCTACTGAGCTACTTCAAACCAACCCCCAGTCACACCACGAAGAGGCAGCTGTGTTGCTCTTGTCCCCCAGACCTGTTGGGTTTTAAAGGTTTTCCTGTCATTGTAACCTTCCTTCCCGGCATTCGCTAAAGGCAGCTGATGACCACGACAAGTGGATTATGTGTTTGATCGATACCTGCTTATGTGTGGGCAGCGTGGGCCTTAATGGCCAACGCCTGCGCCATAAAAGATGAGCTGGGTCGATGGAAGGTACTTTCTGAGCACCTACTGTGTGCTCCCACCGGAGGGGGACACGCGGACACAGCAGTTCGGGGGAACGTGCCATTGTGGTTCTCAGTGGGCGTTCGTTTCCTGGACACACGTGGTAATAACACCTAACGCCTTCGTTCACAAAGTGCTTCCTGGGCTGTGACCCTCCACAGCCCCGCGGGACAGGCGTGGAAGCCACTGGATGGGGAATGGGACCAAGACAACAGGGCAAACCAAGTCCTGCGCTCAGAGCTGAGCATCCTGGTCCCACTGGTGCACTTTGCCCAGTGGGTAGAGATCAACATTAAATCACCCACTTCCTCGGGGCACCTGCCACGTCACTTAAGGCTTGGGAAACCCTTTCTTCCTCTTGGATGTCCTTCCCTGTATGGAAAAAAGTGGCCACTGATGTCTGGAAACTTCTGAGTTCCTAGGGGGACTGGAGCTGGTGGGGCAGCTCAAGTCCTGCTTGAGAAGGCGGAGGTCCCCAGGACTACCCGCTTCCCGGGCTCTGTGGGCTGTTGGTGGCGCCTGTGCTTTCTGAGCCTTGGGGACTGCTCCGTGCACCCTGTAACCTCCTTTTTCTCCTCTGTCTTTCTCAGGCACATCTCTCTCACGCTCCCTGCTACCTTCCGAGGCAGGAACAGCACTCGGGCTGACTATGGGTACCAGCACTCCAATCTGTATGCCATATCAGGTATGTGCGGCCGCTGCGAAGGGCCAGCTAGCGCGTCTGTGTCCCAGGCACCGCCTCCCTCTACGTGCTTCCTGGCTGCTAACGGCATCTGTGTGTCTTACCTCTCTTTTTACCCCTGCAGGGGGCCTGTTCCCTGCAGGGACCAGGCCTTCCCTTTCCTCTGTGTCGCCGTAGCGCTTAGTGAAGGGCCAGATCCTCAGCATATTTTGAAACTAATGATGAAAAACAATGCGTGGATTTCACAAGCTTGAAGGGAGGTTTCCAGAGAATAGTCACCACATCGTTCACCTGCCAGATCCAGGGCAGGTTCCCCGCAGGGACTGGGGACCCCGCAGACCTGAGGCCTGGTGCCGCCTGCCCTCCGTATCCACGTCTGTCCTCATCTCTCACTTCTCAAAGCCAGGTCTGTGACCAGCGGCTGTGCTGGCGTCTCCCCCACTCCCGGCCCCATCGTATGAGCCTGTGATTTCTGAACTCGGCCCTGAAGTGGATAGTGTTACCTTGGCAGGAACTTGGTCAGTCCTGGTTTCCTTTTTCAAAAAACTTAACAAGCCTTATTACAGAATTGAGATTCATTAGGTGCCTGGCGGGGCAGGTGACTTGCTAGGAGCTGAGGAGACCCACAGACTTGACTCTGACTATCCGGGGCCTCCAGCTGGGGGTGTCTGTGTATGGGGGGCGGCAAGCCGGTGCCACTTACAGCACGCACCCTTAACGGCGAGTGATGTTTAGAACACGGGAGCACGGCATTCATTCAGGTACCATAATGAGTCGGTTATTTGAAACGTAATCTTTTTTCTAAAAATTGCAACTTCAGGTTACTAAACAGATGAAATAGAACAATGGTATAATTCGTGTCAGTATTAGTTTTTCTTGTTATGATCACGCCCTAATAGGTTTGGAAGTATAAGCAAAGGCCAGTCGTTCTGTTTCTGGGTGGCGCTCCTGCTGGGGAAGGGGAAGGGGAAGGACGGGGATGTTCTCAAAGCCCTCATCCTGGCTTTTCTCCAGGAGCCAAGCTCCCCAGGGCAGCGGGAACGTGTGGTCGAAGAGAAGCATCTCCAGGGAGAATTTCTTTTGTGCACTGGCTATTTCAGCAGAGTCGACAAGGAGCATAACAAGTGTGGAAAGATGACCTATTTTGTAGAAAAGCTGAATATTTCCCCAGATGCCTAGTGGCAGAGTGGTGCAAAATAGGTCTGTGAAATCCAGCAGGGCGGCCCCGTTCCGAATGCACATAAGGAGAGCTCAATCACAGCAGATGACTTTTTTCCCCTCCAGCTCGCAAATCTTTTTCCAGCCACGGGGTTCGGCTGCCCCCACCGTACCTGGATTCGCTGATGGCTTTCCCAGCTGTTGACGTTTCTGCAGAGAAGGGCCCACAGAGTGAAATCTCCTCTGGTTTGGCAGGAATGTTCCTGTCTGCCTCTGGGCCACTGCTTCCTCGCCCCGCGGCTTTGATGAGGTGTTGTCTGGGTTCATTTCAGCTGTTAGTTTAGCAATACCGAGGTAACAGTCTCAAGACGCAGGGGAAGCCATTCAGAAACTTCCTGTTACGTTTGCGTAAGTGGCAGTCAATTGGATTTTATCTTCCAAACAGAGGTAGTCGAGGCTGTGGCCCAGGGCAGCAGGCAGCTCGGGCCTCCTCGGTGGTGGCAGCACCAAAGCCAGGGTCCAGGACTGCTTTGTTGTGATGCTGCCAGGCGTGCCCTGCGGGACCCGCGGGCTCCGTAAGGCCGGCAAACTCAACACTGGCAGCCGTGGTGCGTGCAGCTGGGAAGCCTGCCCAGCGGCAGCCTGCCTGTGAGCCATTCTGGCTAAAAGGGAGCAGAGACCACGCCCCCCCCCCCCCCCCCCCCCCGTCCCCCGTTCCAACAGTATTTGGCACTGAGTGGCATGTCTCAGTTTGGTATTGCGAAGTTAAGGTTTCAGTGGTTCACTCCAAAAACAGTCAAGGCAGCATGTGCCCCAGCCCCCAGCCCGTGCACAGTGCCCAAAGCCATGATGTCTGGCGCTCTGCTGGTAATGGAACGAATCACCAAACTGTTCTCCTTCCCAAGCAGCTCTGGCACACGTTCGCAGCGGACGTCAGGCACTGAGCCTTTGGTGCGAACTCCTGGTCTGCTCTGGTTTGTTCCTGAAACTATTTGATTACTGCTCCCCTTGCTTGTGGTCCCTTCCTAAGATAAGTAGGTTTCCAAACAATGTTATTAGAAGTTTGAAGAGCAGCCTACATTTAATTTATACGTATGGTTATTAAAGTAATATGTACTTTTAAGTGTTTTCCCAAGGGCATATCTGTTAATATATTTCTTCTGTACCTTTCACTGAGACAGTTCATCCCTGTCCTGCCTGCAGAGGGAGAGACACTGCTCAGAGCTGCTGAGAGACCGGTGGGCACAGCATGTAGCTCTGTCCCCAGCACACAGAGGTGCTCGTGAAATGGTTGTGGAAGGAAGGGGGGAGGAAGGAAAGCATTTAGCCTAGTGTCTGCCTTGCCTGGGAGTACCCTCTATGACCTCTGGGGCAGGTGATCGTCCTGATTTGCTGCTCCAACCCTACAGTGTCTGGGCCACCATCTCTGAGCAGCCCAGCCCATCTCTGCGCGGTGCTCCCGTGTTCAGCGGGGCTGTCTTACTGTATGTTCATATCCCTCCGGCCATCTGGGGTACCACGCGTCCCGTCAGCGTTGCATGCCGACTGTTCTGCACTGTCCAGCCAGTGGGTAGTTCTCTCTTGCCCACAGGATTGGGGTGAGGAACATGGTGCTGAAATCCTGAGAAGCTTATTCCCTTCTCTGCCATCTTGTACCCTCATCAAAATGGCCATGAAGCACACCTTTGATCCTCACACTTCCTCTTCCAGGAATTTCTTCTGGAAAATACAGATGTGCAAAAAAGATTTATCCACAAGGGCGAGCACTGCTGCTTTTTAAATATAATACCCAAAAAAGAGGTGGGGGGGTGGATATCATAAATGTCTAAAATAAAGGCAAGTGGTTAAATTATGAAACATCCATACAGTGGCCTTAACTTTTCAAGCATCAGAAACAGTTCTGATTTAGATTAAAAGATGTGCATGAATGCTGTTAAGTGACAGCCAGGATGTGCAGTTTGATCTCATTTTAAGAAATATATCTAAAGGTCTGGGAAGGCACATGCCGAGGTGTTTATAGTGGTTTTCACTGGATTTTCCTGCTCTTCTTTCTGTTTCTTTGCGGTGTCTCCTTTTTCTGTGATCGCACATATTGCACTCGTAAGAAGAAACAACATAGGACCGATGTTAACTTGTCACGCTCTTGGGAAGCCTTGCAGATTCCAGTGATCGCCGTCTTTTCTGAGTGCTCGCAAGTCTTCTGACCCATCATACGCTTTCAAATTCTAGTGGATATCACTTCCAGGCCACAGATCAATAACTATCTTATTATCCCTTTTTGAGGACATGATTTTTTTCTGTTGTTCAGTCTCCTGGAACCTCCTGTCCACTGATGTTCCTCAGAGACCACTGACTTATCTTTTGCGCCAAGTGGCCCCGCAGACACCGACTGAGCTTGAAAGCACCAGGCTGCTCACCTTTCTTGCCCCTCAAATTCCCCATCACCATGTTATTCACTCCTTAGGGTTTGAGGATGGTTTTCTTTGAAAGAGTAGATGAAATAAAATGGTGGGCACCTGGTTTGTCTCACTCTGTAACCTGCATATAGTAGGGTTGGCAAACCGCTGTTTAAATTGTCCTTACTTGTGATAAATGGCAGCTCATGGGCTCATTCTTTCCTGGCGATGTTCTTATCGGTGTGTCTCCCTCAGTTACATGCCCTTAAGATCTTCTCCTGGGAGGACTTGCTGCCGGGCCATGTTGATTTCTCTAGATTCTGTCCCAAAGCCTCAGTTCCTAAGTTTCCTTGTCAGAACTTTTAGTGGCTGTTAGTTTTCTTTTAAAGAATATCTTCTCTCTCCTGAACATCTCCTTTAGTCCCAGATGATGGTATCCTCCCTTTTTTTTCTCCTTATAATTTTTTTAGATGTTTAGGTGTCTGACCGTTTGCTCATTTCTCTTCCACCTATTCCAGAAAGATTTAAGGTAGCTGCAAAAATGCATGTTAACAAAGTGAGAACGGAAGGGGAACAGTAAGAGGGAATGAAAGTACAGGATAGCAAAGTAGGGTGCAGCTGTGGGTGAAGCTTTGCATGAAGCGGAGATTCTGGATTTGGTTCTGAATCAACAGTTTCCTTACGGACAACCTAAAAATAAGCTGGTTGTTCGAGGAGAGCCTAACTATTCCTTTTATGAATTTTTCTTCGTACAGAGGGCCCTGTAAGGTGCTGGGAACGGCCGCTTTTCCGTGAGTTTGATAAGGACAGACTGTATGCCCACGTGAGGCAGATCCACTCATGTTTGAACCCCTAAAATGTTTGGAAGTTGAGTGAGATGTTTCTTAAGAAATGCTCTTGTGCTGGGTGTCATGTGCCTTAGAGGCTGGGGACCTCGGGGGACGTCAGGAAAGAGGAGATCCCCAACGTCCTGTCCAACCTGAGGGCCACCTGTGCCGAGGGTCCCTGTAACAAGCAGCTCAGCCCAGAGGCACCAGGATTGCTTTTTCCAACCTAGGAATGTCTTGTCAGCCACGTGGCAGGTTTTACTTAAGGAACAGGTGACAGTAGGTATGGGACACTACGCTGTAAGAGTCTTGTTTTTGTGGTGGTTATAAACTGATTTATAGCGCCATGTAAAGAATTTTTACCAAAGAACTTGTTTTTCTCCGTTTTGAAAAAAATTGACACAGTCGTATAAATTAGTACAGTAAAGCAGATGCATGTTAAAACCAGCATGTAATAAAACCAAAAATCTCCAACTCAGCCCACAGTTTCAGGATGAGCCACATGCAGAAATGGGCTGAGGCCTCGTGGTGCAGGGAAGCACCTTTTAGCGCCTGACATCTTCATCTGTCCGTCAGCACCAGGCTGACCACATGATTTATTTTCCACTTCGTCACTTTTGAG